TGAGGCGTGGAAAGTTCGGGAGCTAAAAAGAATCAAACGGGACAGAGAGGATCGAGAAGCGTGAGTAACAGGATGGGCTGCCCTTTTGATAGTGGCAACAGCAGGCGTGAGGCTCGTGGCCTTAGTGTCCTGTTGGCAACAGAACAGTTACTGCACATCTTATCTAAGAAGAATCGAGACATTAAATGAGGGCATTAAGCAACTGGCTATGTCTACAACTTATTCCAGAGTAAGGGATTCTAATCTTGTGTCATGGACTCCTTTGGCTGTCTAAGAATCTTGTGGGTCCCTTCTCAGAAAATTTTTAAATGTGTAAAATGAAAGACATAGGATTACAAGGTAAAAATTTTTTTAACCAAATTAGCAAAACCCACATTAACAAACTGTGTTCTAGAGCAGTGATTCCTAAGGAGACCTCTTTGTAACATAAAAAAAAATTTCCTTCTCTCCCAAAATAATTATACTGTTAGTATTCATTGATTGAGAAAATATGAAAAAAGTTGCTTTGAATTCAGTAATGCTTTTAAAAAAATGTCTTTCATTTGGGCAGCTAGGTGGCGCAGTGCATAGAGTACCGGCCCTAGAGTCAGGAGGACCCCTGAGTTCAAATCTGGCCTCAGACACATAACACTTATTAGCTTTGTGACTCTGGGCAAGTCACTTAACGCCAATTGCCCTCACCAAAAAAAAAAATTTTTTTAATCACATTTATATACATTTGACGAATATTTGGGTGGATGGATAATGTCTGCAAAAGATGTTTGCTTGTGTATGGAGTGCCAGACTCCTTACCAATAACTCTGTAGCCTACCAGGGTCTCATATATAGTCGTAAGCATAGAGAAGCATTATTTTAGCAAATCATGGAGTGATAAAGTTTAAGGACTGATTCCTAAACTTGCTTTTGTGATACTGATAGCTCCACAGTCATCTTATGGGATGTCACCAAATTCTCAGAAAAATTAAATTTAATTCACTTTGATTTTTTTTAAATGTCCCAAAACTTTTAGGAACAAAGAGAATGCATGCTGTAAAATAAAATAGTAATAAGTCAGACTAATTTTATTTTATTTTGGGGTGAGGCAATTGGCATTAAGTGACTTGCACAGGGTCACACAGTATCAAGTGTCTAGTCTGAGGCTGGATCTGAACTCAGGTCCTCCTGACTGAGGTAGACTAATTTTAAAACATTGGGAACCATTATCCTAGGGAGTGTGTTATAAATGGATTTGCTGACACAACCTCAAGCACCCTTCTTGAGCCTTTCTTTCCACAGTATCCTAATTATTATGGCATGTAAATATCTCCTACACCTGGCTTTGGAGCTTGGCTCTCCAAAGGCAGGGACTGGTATGGCTGAGTTGCTTGAAGGAAAGGAGTATACACTGTCTTATTTTCATATCCTAAAGTTTAAAGTAAACTGGACCAGCATTAATAATTTTCTGCCCTGAACAGGATCGAGAAGGAGAAAGCAGAGATTGAACGCATGCGAAACCTGACAGAAGAGGAAAGACGAGCTGAACTCCGAGCAAATGGCAAAGTTATTACCAACAAAGCTGTTAAGGGCAAATACAAGTTCTTGCAGAAGTACTACCACCGGGGTGCTTTCTTCATGGTAAGCAAGGATTAGAGAAAAGGATCAGGAAAACTCTTTTTTTCCCTGTGCACAAAGGTGTCATGTGTAATACAGTGGAAAGAGCAGTCTCTCGGGAGTGAAAGGCTTGGGTCAAATCCAGCCTCAGACATTTACCATCTGTACTACCTTGAGCAAATCATTTAACTTCCCAAGTCCTCAGTTTCCTTATCTGTAAAATAGGGAAATTGAACTAGATGGCCTCTTAGGTCGCTTCCAGCACTGGATTTATGATCCTGCCTGCCTTCTTGATGGTTAGTTTTCTTGTGTTTGGTGAAGGGCATTGATCTTTCTTTTTTAACAGGAAGGCAAGAAGTTGCCTCCAAAATACTTATACTCAGTAGAGAAAAAAAGGCTTACTATAGCACAGTAGTGCTATACTGTGGTCCTAAGGACTAGAAAGAACTGATAGAACAAACTTGGTTTTCTGTGGACAGTAAATCAAACTGACTTACCTCATACCCATACCCAAATTGAGTTGTTTAAATAACATGAGAAAATCAACTGGCCAAAACCATTTTTGAGTGACAGGGACCCATTTTCTTTCATTCTTAACTGCCAGGAAATGATTCTGAAATTAAATAGAAAGGAGTGGAATTATGGGACAGTACCATTTTCCCATTTGTAAAGGGCATAGTCAGATCAGCAAGTGAGTTGACTCTTTGTTAGATGGTATTTTTACACTAACCACTTTTCTAGTGCAGGCCTAACTGAACAATGAATGGTAGTATTCAGAGTTGTTACTTATACAGAATATAATTTAGAAAGCGATTTCTGTATTAAAAAGGGTAACGTGGAATATTAGAGCCTTGGAAACTGTGTTCCAACAGCCTAAACAGTCCCATTAGTATCAAAACTTATCATCTCCAATCTTTAGTCAAACTAAGTGATGAGCTTCAGTGAGATTTAGCTACTTTGTTGAGATTTCTCTAGCTTTTGGGTTTTTGCCATGGTTAGAGTCCAGGAGATGATGGACCATTTCTCGTGCTGTGTAAAAAGAGTACTGGTTTCTTTTCTCAGCAGATTTTCTACTCCTAAGCCAGGGCTAAATGAGGTTAGAAAGTAGAGCACTGTTTGATATTACATGAAAGGCAATTCTTTTCCGGGTACACATTCTCACCTACTCACTGATTTTTGAATCTGGACAAAAAGTGACTCACAAAGAGTGAAGCAGATTGGCTTCTGTGGAAATGCTTGAGGAACAGTTGGGGTTCTTGGGCCCTATGAAAACTTAAGTCCTGAGGTCATTCAAGTGGTTTGAGTAGTGTCTGACTCATGACCCCATATGAGGTTTTATTGGCAAAAATACTGGAGTGGTTTGCCATTTCCTTCTCCAGCTCATTTTACAGATGAAAAACTAAGGCAAACAGGATGAAGTGACTTGCCCAGGGTCACACAGCTAGTAAGTGTCTGGGGCCAGATTATGAACTCAGGAAGATGAGTCTTCCTGACTGTAGGCACGGCACTAAATCCACTACACCAGCTAGCTGCCTAGGTCCTGAGGTAGTTGCTTGTATTTTTAGAACTTAACCCAGAATTTCCAGTCTGTTGCTCTGGCTTAGAGCCTTTAATAAAGACATTCACCGGGGAAGTAGAAAGAGGTGCCAAGGAAGCTTCCAGATTTGTTTGGATACTTGAAATAAATGTTAGCTCTTCTGCCAAACTCTTCTTGACTAACTCTACCCCACTGTGATCTTTCCCTTTACATTTAATTTCCTCAGTACTTTCATAATCTGTTATCACAAGCTTAGATGTTACCTCATTTATTTTGTTTCATGTTATCTTCCAGGCTCGTTAAGGGTAGAAGCAGTGCCCTCTAGGTCACCCCATAATAGTATATGTTAAAATGTTAAGTGTTTATTGTTGTACTAGAAGGTATGATGTGGAGTCAGTCTGACCACAGATCTGATATGGGTCTTTTCTCATCTGCAGGATGAAGATGAAGAAGTATACAAGAGAGATTTCAGTGCTCCCACCCTGGAGGATCATTTCAATAAGACTATTCTTCCCAAAGTTATGCAGGTATGAGACATAGTGTGGTGGAGAGACAAGTATATTAATGACTTGGAGTATAATTTCTGCATATGATGTTGTTGCTTATTATCTCACCCCTCAGGTCAAGAACTTTGGACGGTCGGGCAGAACCAAATACACCCACCTTGTGGATCAAGACACCACTTCCTTTGATTCAGCTTGGGGTCAAGAGAGTGCCCAAAATACCAAGTTCTTCAAGCAAAAGGCAGCTGGGGTACGAGATGTATTTGAGAGGCCATCTGCCAAGAAGAGGAAAACTACTTAGGATTCAACCACCTACTTCCCTGACTATGGACACATGGGGAAGTCTGTTTTTAGGTTTTTTTTCCAAGATTGCTCAAGCAGAACCTCCTGTCTGGCACCTTTTGAGCCTAGCACCCTTTTTATGATTCCAAAGGGACCCTAAAACAAGGGACTACAAGAGGAATTTTTAATGCTGAAAAGCAGTATCCAGGTATAAGCCTCAGCCTGGGCTTGGTGACTGGATCCTACACTTGGTTTCATCACTTCTCATACAAACTCTGGGTTCTACATCTCAAGTTGGGACCACGGGTTACAAAGAAATATTACAATGTCTCCTTAGAGTTGGAAGAAATACTAATAGGGAACCTAAACTTATTAAAAAAAAAACCCGTTTTTGACACTTTTCTACGTTGTCTGTTTCTCTGGACTTGAATCTTACTTCATCTACTATAAATGTAGTGCCACAGTCTATAATAGTCTCCCCATGAACCTTATGGTGCAGATAAAGATTGAATTCAAATATAATGACCCCTAACTTATAAAATAAAAGTGCTTACTCTTACTGACTCAAGACCCATTTTTTTTTTTTGTTCAGATGAGCAAATAAAATTATTTGCTCTGGCTTCCCTGCATTTAGTTTCAGGGAAAGATGTGTCCCACCTTCCAAACAATCTCCCACCTCTGAAACTTGTGTTGGGAATGGTACTTTACCTTCCTTTAAACCACTTCACTTTTAAGTTTCAATGTAACTGAGTATCAACTAGTATTACCCATATCATATTTTAAACCTTTGGGTACTCATTTGGCCTCACTGTAGTAGAATGTTAACCAGAGGTAGTGATATTAATGTATTTCAGAAACATGACTTGGGCTACACTAATGTTGTGAGGTGGCTAGTCAAGTTTTCACTTAAGTCTTTTTATCCCCTTTACTGAAGCAAGTTGTATTTAATTTTTAAATTTAGTTGTGAGTTGGTTGCAACCTATAGAGAAACAACACTTATTACAAAAATGATGTTATAAAAGGACACAACAACCAGAAGCTTCAATAACCTTATCTTTCCAAATCCCTATCAATGAAACACTACAAAGTAAGATGGGGAAAAGAAAGAAACCTTTATTCCAATAAATAAATTCATCAAGATGTGGTCATTCAAAAGTTAGTTGGTAAGGGTAATAAGAGCTTCTACTACATTGCCCATGTGTTCTCGCAAACTCCGTTCTGCTGCTGCCCGTGAGATTTCCATCTCATTCATCTGCAGAAAAAGGAACAAGTATCACAAACGGTCCATTCCAATTGATAGCAAAAACTATAAAGCCAGACATTGTCATCAAGAGACAACTGGTAGTACTTTTGTCTTAGAGAGTTTAGAAAACGTTGTGCCCAATCTTATCAACTTTAGGCAAGAGATGTTCTATATTTCATAGTCCTTCCCACCCCTAAAACTACTACTACCAACATTATGCTTTGTTTTGGAACCCCTGCCAGCCACCTCCAGGCCAGTACTTACTATTAGTTCCAGATCTTCCTTCTTGATTGTAACTTTTGCCAGTTCCTTCTCCCTGCAAAGTTATTTGTGAACATATTCGTTCAGGAAGGATTTATTGAGGGCAAGGCACTAGGGACACAAAGAAGAAATTGAGAATCTTACAAAGTAGTTGGGGGAAGTGGGGCACTGACAGCTGTGAGAATAAGGAAAAAATGTCTTACCTAGGAAGTAAGTAAGCACCTAAGCTGAATCTTGAAGCGAGTTGGGGATTTTGAGAGCAGGAGCAAAGGGAACCCAATTACAGGATGGAGTGAGGCAAGAATGATCAAGCAGGGCAACTAGTCACAATGGGGAAAGCCTAAATTCAAATTAGGCCTCAGACATTTACTGGCTGTGTGACCTGAGTCAAGTCACTTAACCTCTCTGCCTCAGTTCCCTCACCCGTAAAATGGGAATAATAACAATAGCACCTAAATCCAAGGGTGGTTCTGGTGCGGATCAATAGTGAATTGCCAGGCACAAAGTAAACGCCACATAAATGTAAGCTCTTATTAGTGTCACGCTTGGGTTTGTAAATGTAACTGGTACGCCATAAATACTGGGTGAGGATACCCACAACACCCCCGTTACTCCGGAGTCAATCCCATTTTTCTGCACCACTGGGGAAGGAAACCGACGTCAGGAAGCCCAGCCTCCGTCGAAGGGTCGGTTCGAGGTGCTGGGCAGAAAGCCGGGGCGCTCGCTTACCGCTCCTGTTTGGCCTTCTGCTCCCGGGACCGCCGGTCTCCAATCACTGACATCGCCTAGGGCAGGAACACACGCCAGGCAGGGGCATCAGCTCCGCCTCCCGGCATCTCGCAGCCGGACGCCCCGGGGGCCGCCCGGCTCCAGGCGGCCGCCCCCGCCCCCACCCCCACCTCCCTCTCGTCCTCTTCTTCCTCCCCGGCTCCCCCCGGTCCCGAGCCTCGAGGCTCCTCGCACCCTCCAGGCCGCCGCCCGCTTCCCGCCTCCCTCCCTCACCGTCTCCAGGTTGGAGCTCTGGATCTCCTTCTCTTCTGCATAGTCGGTCACTCGTTCCAGATCGGCAGCGCCACTGTCATGTTTCCGCGGCTTCTCCGGCGGCCGCTCGGGGCCGCTCGGTTCGGTCTCCAGTTCCAGCTCCACATCACCCTCGGTCGCCATCTCTTCCAGCCGCGCCGCCTCCCGCGCACCGCGTCTTCCGGGCCCACCGTTGAGCAACTTCCGAAGGAGGACCCGCCCCTTCCGGGTGCATCTTGGCCCAAGCTCTGCCTGTAGCGCTCCATGTAGCGCTCCCAGTGGCCACCGCCCTGCAGACCCCTTACGACCACGCCCCTTCCCTTGGGAAAGAGAGGAGGCGGGGTCACCCCCTAAGCTAGGCGGAGCGGGGCGGGAAGGGGCGGAGCTGTGACGGGCGGTCCCGCGCTGCAATAGTGACAGTCTCAGACGAGGAGGCGGGGATCTCTCTACCCTCCCCGTGCACTTGGACTTGGGCCGGTGGCGAGGACGAGGTCACACCTGCAGTTTATATTCACATAGACCCAAACAGCCACCACCACCACCACCAGTGTCTCACCTCACCCTCGAGTCCTTACCCCTTTCTCTGACCCAAGCAGGGCCTCAGAGGATGAAGTCAAATCCTAAACCCATTAACAAAATTAATCCAGCCAAAGCCAGATATGCAAACTGCCCACCTAATCTGTGGATTGCCCAGGGGCTCTTGGGGGCAAAGGGAGGTGGGCCCGAAGTGGTCACGAGTAGACAGCACTGACACTCACACACGCATGCACACAGTCCAGGAGATATGTGATAGCCGGGTCGCTTCTCCCAGGTGACCTGCTCCTCCTGAGCAGTCCCAGCCCTGATGCTCAAGTAATCAGCTACCGTGGAGGACAATCCCTGAGGCACTGAGAACAGGGCAAGTTGCTTCTTTTTTCCTTGGTGGAAGGGATGGTAGGAGTGAGGGCTCCTCCCAGAAGCCCTAACTCATCCCTGGAGCCGGCCCAGCAGGGGAGCTTGATCAACAGTACTCTGGCAAGAACTATCTTGTACCAGGTGAGAGGGCACATGTTGTGTGTATGTACCCTTAGCAGAGAATAAGGCATTCAGAAGCCACTTTCGCTGCAAATCGGCGAAGTTTTTCCCCTCAACTAATCTCTTTCCCTGACTGTGAGATTCCTGATTCCCATCTTTCTAACTCCTGGATTTCCTCCTCAAAACCCATCAGAACCCCTGGGGAGGGGTCAGGTATTGGTTGTAATTTAAGATCTGGGTAAACAAAGCTCATGAGACGGGGTCTGCTTAATGTAGTCCTAAATCTAAAGGACCAGTGAGCAGCCTTGAGCCTCGAGCACCTGAGAGACCCAGTCTAAATGAAATTTAATCCAAATATTAGAGGCTTGTGAGAAGGGAAGATTTCCTTGAAGGTTGCTTCATCCATTAACATCTTCCTTAACACACATTCACCTTAGCCCTTCTGAGCAGAGCCCCACACCTCCCCCCCATCTAGATTTCTACCATTTTCAATTTTCCCAGACCTCAAAGGAAATTTAGAGACAGGTGTTCTCCATCACCTTTGTTCCCAGGCATCATGCTGCTGTGGCCCTGTCCCCTGTACTAGTTGCTGCTACTCTGGGTTGCCCCCTCTCAAGGAATCTACCAGCAGTAGACTGCTCTACATCCTTCTACATGTGGGGGCCTCAGCCACCTGCTGCCTCCTGCTCTCCCGAACAGTTCTGGACACC